CATTATGAACTACAGTGTGGATGTAGCTTTAGAGATACAATCATCACAGGCCACGGTAACCCTGAGAAGGCTGATAAAGAAAGAGTTCACGGTGCGGCACCTGAGCCGAGCAGTCGCACAAGGTCAGGAAGCGTTTTTGTCCGACAGACGTGTTTTATCTTCAGGAGAGAGTAAGAGAGCGAGGAAGTGGAAGAGCAGAGGATAAAGGGTCCTGTTACGCTCCTGTCTCCTTCTCTGATCAACCAATCAGGCGCGGGAATAGTGCTGAGTCAGCCGCTGGGTGCTGCTCACGTCCGAATGCAGGGGGGGAGGAGGAGTTGGTGGTTGAAGAGGAGCCAGCCAGCCGGTGTCTGCAGTGGACTGCAGCAGCGTTAGCACCACTAACTTCATGGCAAAGAGGCCTTTCTTTGGCGAGCGTCGACCCAGCAGCCTCAGAGGCTGCTCTCTCCTGACGGACTTTGATTTTACACCACTTCTCCAGTGCTTATCCTGTAGATATTAGATTCACCCTAAATGTCTGTGCTCAGATTGATAATTTATATCCCACTTTTCCTTCTCCCTCTAGTCAGTAGGTAATTAGTGGGAATAAATACCGCCAGCCACAGAAGATAAAGTTTACAGCCTGACCACAGGTCAACTTGTTTCATTACTATAGTGTGCCTTGCATTAAGCTAATTACCAACTGGCAAACATCTTCATCAGACATGCACACAGGCCTTCATTAGGACGGTTTAAATCTGCTTCATTTAAATGCTGCATTACGGAGGATTATTGCAGTTTTAAGTGGATTTTAATGGTTATGTTGTAGCAGTGGCCTCAGAACTGTCAGGGGTTTCAGTCGCAGCACGTTGATGTGACAAGAAGTGATGCTCTGAGAGGTTTGCAGGCCTCGCCCTCCCACAGAGCACCGGATGGAGAGCCGTGGCTCGGCAGTCAGTCAGTCACCGAGAGCCACTTGTCCTGATAAGGAGAGAGAGAGAAAGCTGAGAGGAATACCAGACAGCCAGAGACTGAGACATGGGGCATGCGACACGGTCAGCGAGGGAAGAGGCTGAAAGAGTGATGGGAGTGGCGGCGCGCGGCAGGTTGTATTAGTGCAGCCCCGAGTGTCAGGCCATACATCTAAAATGAAAATATCACGGTGAGCAGGAGTGACAGAGTCCGCTGCGGGACTGGTTTCAAAGTGTCACTTCTCCTGCCGGAGCCATACATAGTGGTGGGCTGGCAGCTGCTCTGTAACACCACCTGTACTGTGCGAGTCTCCCCGGGGAGGCCGCACACCCCCACTGACCTTCCCACTGTGACTCCCTGACTTTACCACTACGTCTCTCCCTCCCTCTCTGCCGGCGTCCAGCTGTCCCTAACCCTCAACTCCTCCTCCCCTCTGTCTCCATTATAAGGGCAGGAATGCAGCGGACAGCACAGTCCCAGAATAGACAAGTAGCCAGCCTATCTCCAACCATGCAGTCAGCCTGATAGAGGACACATACAGTAGCAGCCAGGAATGCTCACAGACTCATGGAGGCACCCCGACCCACATACTGTCCACTTCCCTGAGCTCTTGAGCTGGTAAGCTTATGAATGCGCAACACCTTTACTTATTGTAGTTTTGATCTTGACGGAGCTACCTTACAGTTTAATGTTGAAAGAGCACTCAGCGGTGAAGCCTTCAGCAGGCATCTGAGCGAGGTTAATGATAAAACGCTATGGGTGTAATGATTCTGTTTGATGTTGGATCTGAGTGGAGGTGTGCAAGGTGAAGGAGGGTTGCCCGTTTGATGAGTGTGTGGGCCAAAGATTGTCAGAATAAAGGGCAGACAGCGTAGCGAAGGGATTCTCTCCCTAATCTACTGAAAATCCTGCTATGAAAAGGATTTCATGTCTCGCGCTTTCTCCTCTGAAGTTGATATTCGCGCTTGAACACACACAGAGGCTTGCCAAGCAACACTCACACTCACTGTCTGTCTTATGTGGACATTCATAGATCATTATCCACAAAAGTGGTACATAGGCATGGTTCACGCTCACACCGCCAAGATCAAAAATAGATACGAACATCCATACAGGTTATATGCTTGGAAGCACAGGATACACACACACACATACACACTGCAGTGCTGCATGTTGCAGAGGTAGAACAACTGCAGCTCTGGGACAGGTAGAGAATTCAGGCCACGCGAGCTCGTCCTCGCCTCTGTATGCTACTTCCAGCTTTCTTCCTCTTGCTGTTCACCCCTCGCTCTCTGTCTCTCTCTCTGTCTCTCTCTCTCTCTCTCTCTCTCAGGGCTCCCGTCTTTCCTTCTCAGTTTTTTGTTTAAATTTCTCAGTCAAGGATGCATCCTCCTCATCAATTTACTGGTCTCTTGGGTGACAAGTTTATTAAACACCAAAGAGATGAAGGGAGAGAAGGAAAGAAAGAGTGAACAGACCCTGTCTTGCTCCTTAGCTCCTTACATGCACTGCCAGTATTTAAGCTCTTTTTTTTTTTTTATTGTAATGCGATTTGTGTGCAGTGAGGCTGATGTATTTGTTATCTAGAGAGGGGTGGACAGCTTTGATACAGAACTGACAGTGTAATCTCTCTCTCTTTCACACACACACACACACACACACACACTTAGACTTAGTAACCCTTATTTTTTGTTGTTTTTTTATTTCCATTTTACAATGTAACTCAAACTGATAAAAATGGTGCATTTGTTTGGGACTATTTTCGGCAGTGGATTAATCCACAATTGCCGCTACAGTGAGCATCTCAGGCAGCAGCAGGATGATGGTGTATATGGGACTGAGTGAAAACAAACTGGTATGGGTCACTGATGTGGTTTTAATAGTTTTTGGGCAAGAGTGAAGCTCTGTGGCTCAGATCAGGCTTTGGATACACACAACACTTTGTTTAAACTGTTCATGTAGCTTTTAAAGGATCACAATGAATTTGGCTGATGCCTTCAGGAACAGAAACAAGCTGTAAACACAACTTTATATTAGAATCCAAAATATTTGAAATGGTAAACATGCTGACAAACACTTGTTCATTTACATATCAAGCAGATACTGAATATCATTATTGTTCGTTTGGAGTTGTGTTTCTGGCTGTCTGACGAATATAAGCCCATCCAGTCTGCACATACAGACACAGTATGTGCTGCATACTGCATAGTTTGCGCCATATGCAGTATGGAACTGTTAAATCATCTTATTTTGCAGTGTGTTACTGCAGGCTCAGCCAGGAAAGAACAAACAAACAATAGCACAGCTAATGTGTGGCATGTAGGTATTATTATTATTTTAATACACACCCTGGTTTGGTCATGTTGTGAACATTTCTCTTATTCAGTGATTATATAATTAAAATAAAACACTTAAAAGTGTTGATATTGTCTCCTTTGTCATATCATACAGTTACATTATTTATCACGATGAGGTTAAAAGGAAAACATAATTAAATAATTGTACATCAGCCTATAAAAACACAGTATACAACTGAAACCAGAATTCCTCTGGAAGTCTATAGTAGTGTAATGTCAGCAAAGTTGTAATAAAAGCTCAGCAAGTCAACATTGTGAACATTCCTGCACAATGACTTATGGGATACACTACGCGAGTTAGACTGGTCCGAGCCATACTGTAAGAATTTTTTTAAAGTCAGTACAACATCGGAGTATTTTCACCATCCTGTAGAGTTTTCTTTCTTTCTTTCTTTCTTTCTTTCTTTCTTTCTTTCTTTCTTTCTTTTATTTATTTATTTATTTATTTATTTATAGATAGATACTGCATTTTGGGCAAATCGGTACATACTATATAGCTATTTCTGTCTTTTTAACCTCTAAATGTTCTGCTATGTTCACTAACTGCTGAGCGGGTTGTGTGCAGAGCTTTTTGACTGAATACAGCTGCATGCTGCTGCATGAAAATGATGCTGATTACCAGAATAAAGACAGTTAAATTGCAGCCCATTAAACTAAAACAATGAGGTGAAAGATGCTAAAACACTGCAAAGAACTGAGGCGTGTCATATTTCTCACTACAAACAACCTTATTCCACATGACAAGCTTTAAGCTCTGAAGACCAAAATAAAGTCAACTATAGGTGAAGATACCCTCTCACGTTGTGTGTGCAAAAAAATTGAATATCAGTGAGTTGTGGGAAAAAAAAAAAATCCAGACAGAATATATCAATAGCTGGGATTCGGAGGCCAAGACTCTGCTTAAACAGTTTATTTCCTAATGATTAAATGATTAGCTAGGTTAATTGAACCAGGAAATGAGTGAGTTGCTCCAAGGACAAGCAGAGCTGTGCAGCCAGCAGGAAGACTGCTGAGTACATCATCTCTGTGCCACCACGCTCAGCTAGGCAGCAGAGCTGAACGGCCCAAACCACGGGCCAAAAACATCGCAAATACAAGTGAGAGTAGTTATAACGGAAAGGAGGAGGAGGAGAGGCTCGGTGAAATGGAGAGAAAGCGTGAGAGCATTAGTATGTGCGCGAGAGAGAGGAAGAGATGTTCCACATAGCGCTAGAGGTCAATGAGAGTTAATTTTCCTGCTGTCCTATCCGCTGGCTTCATTAGCAGTATTGGCAGTTAGGTAATGAATTCATTGTTTTCTCAAGTTTGTCTGCAACCATCGTTTATACGCGCTCCTTTCTTATCTGTTAGGGCCCTGCTCCCTGTTTTTCTCATCTCTTTTTCATCACACACATGGCTTGTTCTTCTGTTTTCTCTCTCTCTTTCTTCCCCGCACACTCTTCTTCATCTTTCCCTCCTGTTCTTCCTTTTAACACCGACCTTTGTTATGTATTTTTGTTTCTTCTAAGCAGTAACATGCGCTCTTTCAAGGGCAACATTTCTTCCAATAATCAATGGCTGTTTGCTGATGTATTGTGTTGTGTGCTTTTTGCATGTCTGCACAAATTCTGTATGCATACTTACTTGATGCTACTTTGTGTGTGGACGCCCTCTTTTCTTATCAGTTCCTCCCTCTGGCTCTGTCTCTTTCAGGTCTCCATCCAGATTATCCTCTTCTCTTCTTCCTTCTCCTCCTCCTCTTTCTCCGCCCCTTCACCTTTCGGACCAGATTTGCCCCTAAAATGCTTTGCTAAAGCTGGTAAAATGGAACCAAATCAACTGTTCAATGGATTTGGTCCCCTTCAACCAGCTGTAGCTGTGCATTGATCACTCCGAGCATCCAAACACACACTCGCAGAGGGGGGAAAAAAAAACAAATGGACAGAGAAGCGGCGGAAAGACTCGAGCTAATTCAGTGGAAAACAGCTTTAAAAGCTAAAACTGAAGCTACATTTGCTTCTTTATTGGACTGAGACACAGAAACTCATCCATGGATAATACACAGCATGCTCCAGTTACTGCGTGGATTTATCGCTATCGCACAGATTACCCAAAAGACACTGAAGTCATTTGTTTAATCTGAATAAAACAAGGCAGGTAAGTAATTATAGATACTGTATCTTGGTAAATTTGTACTTTTGTTGTGCACTGCTATAATTGCATTGTCCTTTGGAGACTATTTTTTATTATTCTTTGCAGATTTTTTTTAAAGTGTGTTTGTTTGCTGAACAGTGTAAAAACCGATGCTGTGTAAGAAAAGCACTGATGCGTATGTGAGGGTGCATGTATGTATGTACGTATGTGTGTGTGTGTGTGTGTCACTGATGTCTAATGCACACATCTGATCAATAAAACCTAATGTGACGTTCATATAAACTGCTGAAGTGGTCTTTGCTTTCAAGTGTGGACTGACTGGAGGGGGTGCAGTAAAACATGTGTGACGGTGGAATGGAGGGCAGAGCGCACTGGGTCAAGTATTCAAACATGGCATGTAATATTTAATTCTAAGCATTCTTTTTAGCATTGGGGAATATATATTTGTTTCATGGCACAGCATCTCGACAATAGAATAGACTTCATGTAACCATCACATAAGATTATACTGGACATGATAATAGACAGATGGACTGTGGGGTCATGGACCAGAAAATCACAAGTGTCCACCTTCTGTTGTGTCGTTGAATGTTGTCACACTCTTCCTGAAGAGCACAGTGAAGTTTTTGGACTTTTTGGGGCACAGAGTTTTCTGAAATGATTTCTTAGACAACAAATAGTGGCGTTGTGGACATTTAAGTACCTGGCCATAGTCCTAACTGACCAACTTCCAGTATACAGCAGCTCATTTTTGTCTTGCTCTTGTCATCTGTGACATAAAGCTGCGTTTTTAGGAGGCCTTTTATAGTCATTGGTTGTTGTCCTTGTGGATTAATCGTAGCAACTGGACTTGCTTGAGTTCCTTGAACTTGTTTCACCTCTCCACGAGAGTAACCATGACCTCGATGACTGAGAATCTTCACAGACACTGGTTGTTGTCTTTCAAGCCACACCTGACCAACCTGTGGATGAACCCAGTGGTTGAGAATCTGTCAACAGTTAAAGAGCTGAAAAACTTTTTATGCACAATTAGCTACATATAATCCTTTTCTAAAAAGGAACAATATGAAATGAGATTTAAAACTTTTCCTCTAAGTCAGAAATGAAGATCATTTGAATGCTGTGCTTATATTTTTGGTTCGTGGAGTGGGTGGATTTGACCTAATGTGAGTGTGGTCTTTTTAAAAATCCCCACAAAAAAGACACCTGATACGAAAAGGTTGTGAGAGGACGGACACACACACACACACACACACACACAGGAAAACAGCACGATGCACAATCAGTTAGTTCACTCAGTTGACAAGCAGTGGGAAGTGTACTGTAATGATAATAATGATAAGAATATTTGCCTTGATGTTAATATTGTTATGATCTCTCTGATTCTGATCTCAAAGATCTTGTTTGGGACTGATCAAGGCATTTTTTAACTGTTCGACATTGACACAAACCGAAGTCCGATCCTTCATTTACGTCTGCTGTCACACAGATGTCATAAAGGGGGAGCACAGTTTGCAGCAGGAGGTCAGGGATACAAATTGTGAATCATTTTCTTAATCAATAATCAGCAACACTATCATCAGTAATCCAATAACTGAATACACAAATTGAGCAGAGTGGCCATTTTTCCTGCGCTGATGTTGCTGTTGTAGTCGACAGTCATATGATATGGGCAATAAAGTTGGCTTTGTCGCCTGTGTTACTGAGATAAGGAAACTCTGGCCTAGCTGATCCGTGCTTGTTGCAAACACATGGTGTCCGGTCGGAGGCAGTTAACTGTCAAAGACGTGTCCAGGTAACCACCTACTTGAGTTGCTACAGTACTGAACTGTAAGAGACTCCACCTGATGAAACAAACTGGTGCTTCAGCTAGTCTACAATACATTTTCTGACATGCATGACGAGAATACGCGTTTTTGCTGTTGTTATGGAGCTTGTAGAGCCACAGTTCATTCATCTCTCTGTACACTTGATTTCCAACAGTGACCTATTGGAGCTTTACAGGAAGGTTTGTGACCATCTACGTAGCATTAACGAACAGCTTTGGTGGAGAAATGGAATTGTTTTGTTAATGCATTCCAGAGTTATTCAGGGGATAGGGATATACGTTGGACTGACCTTGATAACGTCAATGTACATATTATATAGGAAAAGAGTAAGGGATTGGGATGGATTGGGACTAATAACATTGCTTTTAGAGCGAATATAAAATCATACAAACCAAAGGGATTCTTTTTCATACTTAAAGTGCCAATTTATTCTAAAAGTTCTATCCATTTTTGGTACCAACAATGAAAGCTATCATAAAACTTAAAGTACATGATACCACACACACTTGGGTCCAGTTATGTTCACTCACCTACTGTACATATTGGTACACAGACCTAAGACCTGCTCAAGTAAAATAAAATGCCATCTGACCCAAAAAGACTGAATTCAGATCCTGTCTGACCCATTTAAACCTCTCGCTGTGACTTCATTATACTTGGTGTAAGTCTACTAAACTAAATTATTGTCATTTGGATCAAGCTCAACAAGTTACTGGTGCACTGTGATCACAATCTAAACCAAGAATTATCAGCTGGTGTGTTTGAAAAGATCTGCAGTAGACTTTAGCATTCAAAACTACATTGCACCACTTTTTAAATAATCCACCAGTACTATAATAAAATAAGACAGGGTCAAAACAAGGTCTTTTTGTGTTGAATGGTTCTCTACTCACTGGTACCAGGTTAAGTTACCTAGTTATTGTTGAGTGTGTAGGATGGAATGTGAGTGATGGTGCTTAAGGAGAGGGACACATGAGGGGGAAAGGAGACAGAAATTTCCCAACTTGATCCATCTTTCCAGACTCATACTCTCCTGTCCTTCTTTTTCCAGTCACATCCTACTTCCCTCCTTCCCTCAGCCCTTCAGCTCTCCTCAGCGGTGGCGGTTTGGCCCACTGTGCGTGGCTTTGGAGGTGTGACAGATGTTTTAATGTGGCTGCGATTCCTTATCACCACTCAGCTGAAAGCTCCATTTGCCTTGGTCCGCTGTGATAGATGGAAGGCCGAGGCTGAGTGGAGAGGAGATGCTATGCTAACGAATGGGAGACTAGGCATTTTCAGAGGCTGAGCGGGTGGAAGGAGGAGGGGGGACACGGCGGAGATGACACACACTGCTGCAAATGGTAGATGTGGTCATTTTCTGTTTTTCATGTCCCGGGTGTGATGAGCAAATGAGTAATTATAGGAAGGGAGGGGTGTGTATGCAATTACACTGGGATGAAACAGTGCTTGTCAAGACTGGGAGCGCCGCAGCAGAAATGGAGAAATCAAGCAGAACATACACGTTACAAATAAACTCGCAAATAAACAAACAAACCGACAGCGATTTTGATTAAACCTCGGTGTGTTTACAACCCGTTAAATCTGTGGGATTATTGAAAGTCAGTGGCATTACATCTTCTCAATGTTTCGAGCAAGTGAAGAAAAAGAAAGAAAAAAAAAAAGGGCAGGAGTGATCCATCAAGGCAGCATACCTCAACCTGTGAACCAGGGATGCATTACAGAAACACAATGTAATTTGTCTAAAATGCATCTGAGACAAAGTACACACATTCTCTAAGATACAGGAAAAATGTTCTTTACAGATGACTTAGTAAATTCTGCACAAAATGTTACTGTGAAAGTGAACTGGAATATGATATAGAAAAACTTCCCCTAGTGATAATGAAACTTGACGGAGCTGCAGTAGGATATATTCCGTGTTGACTGGGAATATTTTTTTTCCTCTCAAAAAACTTTTGACTTTTCGTTCTCTACCACTTAGAAAGGTGAAACTCCGACAATAGATGTGAATAAGTTTAGACATAAATAACATTATTGCAAAACTACTAAAGGTTTCTTGTGGAATTCCTCAAGGCTCAGCGTTAGGCCCATTCTATTTTTGCAAAGAATGATGTCTCTGTTTCTAAAATTTTAACATGTATTTAATTTTCACATTGATACACATTTATTTTAAGAGCAGGTGTGATATTCACAAATTGTTTCTGATTTTTACTTTCTGACTCTTCTTCTGACAGGTTTGAAGCACGTTTTATTATTTGTTTGTTTGTTTTTTAATCACAAAAATTACACCATTATACTGTCAGCCAAAAAACTGCAGAAGCAAACAAAAAAAGGCTGATTTTCTACTTTCTGATGGTCCTCAAACTACTCAACTGTGACGTACCATTTCATCACACAACCTTATCAAATCTCAGCTTAAAGTTATCACATCTCACTTTAAATTTGCCAAACAAAAACTTTTTGCTCTAACCAGTTTCCAAACAAAAAAGTCAGCGCTCCTCGGCACAGCTAAGAAGCCATCAGTAACTGCAACAGTCATCAAAAATTCAAGGGTTTTTCACATGAAGTGCAGGCTGTGTTTATACAAAGCGAAGAAGATTCAAGTATGGAGACGAATTAAAAAAAACTAAATCGAAAAATATCTATAGCATGTAGAGTCCCCTTTTTTCCGGTATTGGTAACACAAGGTGGAAACATGTTGATTACAGATTTTTTATTTTATTTCTGGAAATTAAATATTTAAAGAAAATTAACCTTTTGTCAGTTGTTGACAGTTTAAAATGTCAAAGTGTATTTCAGTATGGTATAAAAGAACAGACTTCCTAAATGTAGCTTTGTATTCACATTGATTTCTGTCACTAAACTGAACTGAACTGTAGCAATCAAGATTCAACGGTATTTAGTATTATTATTTTTTATTAGTATTGTTAGTATTAATAGCAGTAGTATTTTACAAAATTACAGGCTACAACATTCACAGATTTGGTCAGTTTTAAAACAATACAGATTATGTGTAAGTTCAAAAACAAATTACTACCTCAAAGTATCCAAAGAGTGAGCAAACTAAAGGTTGTTAAAAACTTTAACATTGTATTTTGATTGCTGCAAGGTGGCGCAGTTGGTAGCACTGTTGCCCTGCAGCAAGAAGGCTCGCCGGTTCGCGTCCCGGTGGGGGCACCGGAATCTTTCTGCGTGGAGTTTGCATGTTCTCCCCGTGCACCGACTTAGCGTGCCTTCACCCTAAGTCGGCTGGGATAGGCTCCAGCCCCCCCGTGACCCTAGTGAGGATTAAGCGGTGTATAGATAATGGATCTGCCTCTCATGGGATTTTCTGGTTAAATAAAGGTTAAAAAAATAAAAATAAAAATGTAAATAATTAAAATAATCAGTCCATGCAACAGACGACTGGACTTTGGTAAGTCAACAACTTGTTAACTGTTAAGTAGTGAT